AAAAAAAAAAAAAAAAAAAAAAAAAAAAAAAAAAAAAAAAAAACTGGAATTACATAATTTGAGATAAGGCAAAGAGCATGATTTGATGAATCGAACAGATCGTGAATATGCCTATATGCGTTACACTCATTCTTTCTTGGGGTTTGACATGCAGATATAAAAGGCTGCAAAGAGGAGAAGTAAGGCGGGAACGCCTTCCTCATTACCGCTGTGCGGCGTTTCTCCGTGATTGACACTCGCCCATCAACTCCTTCGCTGTACTTGTCATTTCAGTGATTTCTTAACAATGAATTGAGAATTATTGTATGCCTTAGGTCTTTCGAAAAGTATCCTTTCGCGGAAAAATCCTAAAAATTTCATGGTTACGAACAAACCAAGAGAGCCTGTGTGAAGTATTCGACCCCTTGACGCCCCATAATGTCTTGCGATCCAAGATGGCCGCCGTTCGACTTTTATCAGATTTGTTACGAGTGAGCTGTCAGTTCATATGAGAAAAATCTCTTTATCAAAATCTGTTTTCATGGCTACAAAGWTGCAGTGAACTGACGTGGATTTTATAATAACACGACTTTTTTTGCTGATGAATTAATGTGCTATTATATTAATGATCTTCTTATTCTGATCTTTTTAGTGTAAAAATCAATCACCGAGCAAAATACGAAAGTCATAAAAGCCCTAGCTAGGAATTTGAARACAGATTGATGCTATATAAGAACATGCGTAATGAGTAAATTACGAGCCTTATCCCATCCCACACGGCGCACTGCCACATCTATCTTGATGCTATATGTTTTTTTATTGATCGAGTAACGACAGATCAAGAATCAAAGCGGCACTTTGCCCATGATGCTTGCACACAAGCCGAAGCTATTAAAATTGCACAGTTCCCCCGGGCGGGACAGTTCCCTAGGGATCTGAAGCAGATTCAAGCCGGTGTGTATAAATATATTGTTTGAAATTTAATTTAATTTAATTTAATTTAATTTAATTTAATTTAATTTAATTTAATTTTAACTATTAAAAGAATAATGATTTTAAGCATCGGGTATACTCTTTGACAAGACAATCTTTTGCAAATCAAAGACAAACATCTAAAGAATACTTTTCATTACCTTACCACTGCACTTTAACCTAGCCACTCAAAAAGATCAACTATTTACGTAATTTGTAGGACGTCTCGAATAAATTCTGTCATTGAGCTGTCTTCAAAATGATTTTTGGCGCTTGTCACGGATTTACAATGAAGTCAGTATTTTGCCTCAGATACGGTCGTAGAATTTTTTTTTTACAAATGATAGAAAACATTATACGGCTTTGGTTCATACCTCGAAAAGTATACTAGCCAATTGAATCAAAACTTATTAATTATATCTAACAATAAAGCCCTAAATCCGCATTGACAGCTTGCCAACACAATGCTACAATGACATCAAGAAGTTTTTTTAAAATGAAAGGTCAACAACACACGCATAATTAATGCCGAGGAATGATAGAACTAGTGATCGYGCGCTGCGCTGTACAATGGTAGTAATCATCAGCAAAGTCAGTGTGTCAAACTGAACCGTTCGCTTTTGAAATTACCATTTTCTTTTGATGTTTGCCTTATTTCGGTTTGTTTATTTTGCTATGTTTAATCACGTTGATTTTTACGTAATAGTAGCTGTCAAGTATATCTTGATAATTCTTCAAAGAACTAATGGTCAAAAATCACTTCTCCAGGGTTGAACGGACACCAAAGGTGTCTCRAGAAATTTCCATGACAACGAAGATGCCAACACATTTTTTTCAGCGTTGACTATCCACATTTTTCGGACTCTTCTGCACGTGATTCCACTATTCAAATTTGACTCTTTTATAATTACCTGACCTACGTCCCTAGCCCCTTAAAATGGTACGTGATCTGTGAAATAACGGGTGAAAATCTAATCAAGTAAAACCAAGTGAATAGTAGCTCATCACTTTACTTACAAAAATTTTAATTTCATAGTTAGTTTCATACTATGTAATGCGCAGTTTCTAATTCCCCAGAACACCCTTGAATCAAAGATTGGCCAACCTGCTAGTAATGATTGAAAAAAGGACATTTGTAATGAATAAATCAGACTCCTGTCGAGAGCCCCAAGGAAAAGTCTGGTACGTCATAACCTGATTATCTGGGAGACCAGGTTCCGATCATCAAATAAAGTACCTTTTCCCCTGAGTGGACAATGGCATGACAGTATAAGCCAATCAAAAGCGTCCATAGAGCATGAGAGAACACACGCACGGTTCTAAGAAATTATTATCACGTGTAGCTGTCATGGAGGAAGATATGAGGGTCTTTCGAACCATTTTCTTCAAACGAATGCCTATTTAGTAAGTATTTTTCGAGATTTTCTACTAAAAATATTCCGTATGTACTTCAGCTAACCTTACGTCTTTGTTTTGATTATTTTAGGCGTTAAATTTTTGAAGCGAAGGTTTGTCGTCCCCGCAAACTTTGGCGCTGTTTCTGTTATGCTTTTTAGCCATTCGTAGAAGGTAAATACTTTGAAAAACAAGCTTTCTTTCAATATATGTCTGTTTGAATCGAGATATCGGAGTTTTTGCCGGGATATCTCCGTAGAATGCAGTCCAGCAAGAGTCAGGGATACAGAATATATAAGCAAACCGGGTGTTGAGGGAAACGTTATGAGACGTTTTAAATCTAAATCCTAGGTTTTCAGAGCCATGGAAATAGCTGTAGTCGAGAAGTCTTGGCCCAAGCTGTCTTACTTCCAACATGAACATCCTTCTATGGTCCTTAGAGAGCTAAACCAACAGCGAAGGTCGGGAAATTTTTGTGATGTCCTCCTTAAAGTTGAAGAAGTCGAAATAGCGGTTCACCGCGCGGTCATAAGCTCCACGTTCCCTAAACTAAAAGACAGTCTACAAAATCACAAAGACTGCAGTATCTTCGAAATAGATGGGCTTAAATCTGAAGCAGTAGAGGCTCTGGTCGACTTTTCTTACACCTCTCAGCTCGATGTCCCGCCAGATTCTATTTTCTCCGTCATGGTGGCTGCACACAAATTTGGCATGGCGGAACTTGAAAGCGTTTTGGAAGCTTTTATCATAGAATCCATCCTGCCACAAAACTGGCTTTGTGTTTGGAAGTTTACAGACCTCTTTCCACAGTTACGTTCAGCCGTAGAAAAATTCCTCGCTGAGAACACGGCGGCTCTCTTTCACAAACAAGATTTTCTTCGTCTACCCCATCTACAAATCGAACTGACCGGCCGCCAAGGGGACACGAAAAACAACATGGATCCCAAAGATATATGCGAAAAAGCTGTCCTTTGGATTCATTCACAGCTTCAGGTTTGTTAACCATTGATTTTTTAATATTTTACGTTACATTATGAATTCTTGATGAATAGTCTTATTTCTTCATTTTATATTTTCCATAATTAATTGAAGTATGTGTTTTTGATGATGTCCATATATTATAAATGCTTTACGATTCGGAAAGTGAAAAACTCTCGCGGAAACACTACTCCTAAGGCTCAATAAATTTACCGGTAAACATAATTTATTGTCATGAAATTTCCTATCTTAAAAGAGGAAAATTAGAAGTCTATTCGGTGGAGGCGTAATACCAAACGAAGAAAAAGTCTGCTTTTAATATAAAAGAATCCATTGCCTTCTTGCATTCCCTGTTATGTTAACGTTGACACTGTTCTACCTTACAATTCCTTGAAAGTCTTTCTCTTTTCCGAATTGCTTTAGTTTAAAATCACTTGGGATTGCAAAATTTAATGCTAACTTTGTATATTTCAACATACTGTCATGTCCATTTCAACACGTTAATTAATCTGTTTGGCTTTTTCCCGCGAAAAAAAATCGCGGTAAAAATGGATTGATTTTGGGCTGCTCGACAAAAACAAAAAAAAAAAAAAAAGAATTTATACTTAGTTAGACATATTATCATTGTTCGCTTATTTTAGAGTGTGTCGAACTGATAGCCTCATCTCTAGCTCTAAAATCTGGGTGTAATTTGAGATTGAAGAAGGCCAAGTTCATTTGATGTTTGGATTAGTATACGTATTTTATCTCAAAGTAGTTTTTTTTACTGGGGTACCTGTGATAGCYCAGACATAAAATACCTTTGTTTTTTGTAATTTTTTGTGGGCTTTTTTGTATTATTCAAGCAAGGTAGTGTGAATCTCTTTTGGATTATGCATAATGCAGAATCAAATGCACCACACTGCTCTCTAATATGTATATTTCTGAACTTTTCTTTAGCTGTGCAGCTGTTCCTATTTCATTTACATTGATTCAAGCTTTCAATCATGTGCTGTATAATATTTTCACCTTTAGTTGCGAATCATCTCATGGAACAACACCAAGTATTGTGGTTTTAAGTGCATTGGTGCAAAAATTAGTAGGGGCAAGGAAATGCATCTTTTTACAAAATTTTACATTTGTTTGTGCTGTAAAACGTATGGTACTGTGTAGCAAAAAATGAACTTTTAAACCCACTAGCAAAAAATTGTGGCGAATAATGAAAAAAAGTTACTGGATGCAGGTGGTTTCAAACTTTTCTGTACTTCCATTTTTGGACTCTGGTCATACTTGCAAAACTAATAGCTAAATACAAATTTCACTTGCAAAATCAAGCTTTAAGAATAATTTTGCATAAGAACCGGAAAACATGCTCTCAAGTATTGCGAGACAACTTAGGCATCTTAACCCTGCACAATCGCAGGCGATTTCTGCGTTTTATTCTGATAATTAAAATGATTAATAACATCAGTTGTCCAAAGCAATTACAAGGAAAATTAACAAAAAGATCTGCAATGCATACAAGAACTTTAAGAGACTCTTGTATTCTAAACATTCCAAGAGCGAAGTCTGCATCTGGGGAAAAGACCTTCCGATTCTCCTCTGTTAGGGATTGGAACAGCCTACCACGTGAGAACATAGAAATTACCTTTCACACTATATTTAGAGTTAAATGAGTAGGATGGACATCAAGGCATGAAATATCGAAAATACCCCCAAAGGCTCGAGCAAGATTTCGTAATTCATAATGCAGCTTCAGATTATAGTAGGTGTAATTCAACACTTTGAAAATGGAAGCTATTGTACATCATATAAAGTCTTTGACATCTGCTGATCATTCTACATTTTGCATGGCTTGGAGTCTTATTTGCTGCAAGGCATAATGCACCTTCCTGACAAACTGAGATGCTGAAAAAAACATTTTGAAACTTTCAAAATTGTTTTCTAGACTAATTATTTAAATTTTTATTCCCTATTACTCTTAAATAAAGATTAAGTATAAATCAAAAGAAATAAGGAAAGAGTGGTGATGTGTGTTGGTGGTAACTTCTACTTTATACTAATTTATCTACTATTATTATATAGTTAGGATGGTATGCGTGCGCTGATAGGTCAAAATCTTCGCTTTATTAGTGAACAGAGCACAATGCTGACGCCATTCACCAGATCCTGCAACTGTCTTTCTTTTTGCGTAAATAAATTCAATACCGAAATAATATTAGTAACTATATGATAAAACAAATAAAACAGCTTTTTTCTGCACTCCGTTCAATGATAAAGCACTTAGGAAGTGCCGTAAGCACTCAAGAAGTAAGAGAAGCACTCGCCTACTGCCAGTGCTTCTCCTCACACTTCTTTTGTGCTTACATCACTTCCTTTGGCTTTATTACTGAATGGAGCAAGGAAATAAGCTGTTTCGTTTGTTAAGAAGAATGCAGTAATAGTTTTAAAAATTGCTGCTCAGAACATACTAGAGATCCTGTGCGCTTCTAGAAGTGTATTTTTCTTGAAAAAGGCCCGAGTAATATAATAATGATAATTATTATAATCTCAGTACATTGCAGACTTCAGCAGTTTCACAATGGTGTATCTGTGTATATTTCACTCCTTTATTGGTGACTTGCGATCATTCCAAAGAGAAGAGATGAAATGTCAAAAGATTATAAGCAGCATTATATTGTTGTTTGATACAAATGAAACAATAGCAATAACAGATAAAAATACAAAGAAAATATCTATCAAGCCTATGTTTATTATTGAAGCATATATATTTCTCAAAAAAATCTAACAGGAAGTTTAAAATCTCTTGTACAACATCAAGGATGAGTATTGTGAATACAAGTTTATCTTACAAGTCTTTCTTTCATCTTTAGGATCTATATTTGAATAGATTCTAATTATAAACTACCTTTAGCTCACAGCTTGAACCATGATTATAAACCTGCATAATTTGACAACTATTATTCAAATATTTATGTGATTTATGACCTATTTCTGTATCAGTTGAATCTCCATTTGAAAAAAAAATTGTTTCCAGCTGTGACAACCCTGAAAGCCTGGGATCTGATATTGGTCTGAGATGTTCGAAAAATTTCCTTTAAATCTCTAAAACAGTTTTTTTGAGCCCTGAATCTCTTGATGTTTATTCTACCACAGCATTAAGTAATTATTAGCATTGACATATTTTAGAATGTAATCATGACACATTTTTAATGATGCATTAAGTACCTACATTAAGGTTTCATTGTTTTTCCTTCGATAAAAACCATTATGGACAAAGTGTTGATTCCAATTTCAAAAACAGTGCTGTTCCAATACCAATACACTATATTCCTCTGGTGTTTTTTGTTTCCATTGTCTTATATCTGTAATATCCTAAGCAATTTTAGGGTCATAAAAATTCCGCTTGGCTCCTGCTGTTTAGTGTCAAAATACATGTCATAGGGAAAAAATGATAATCTGTGAAGAATTTAAGCCTTGCAAAATTTTAAAATGAAATTCATAACCAAAGTTTTCACCTAAAAATTTCACCTAAAAACTAGAAAATTGTTATCTAGATTCCTATGTTATTTATTCTTATTAATTACAGTTTTTAATAGTGTACTCAGAAAATAAATTGTGTTAGTAGATTGTAGACAGATTATTGGTTGACATTTCTTCCTTTTTTTTTAAAATTAGTGACTTTTCTCTAATGATCATAGGTCTTTATGTTAGCGTCCTATTAATTCCCTTATATATTATTTTGCACATTTTGAGAATACACTGTACATACATAGAAACAAATTCATTTCTCATGAAATATTAGCAAAATATATTCAAGTTATTTGTCATTGTCCAATCCTTGGAGGATTAACATCAAAAATGCTATATATTAGGCAGATTAAGATTCCTGTTTTTTTTCTTCCCGCAAACGGCAAACGTGACCACGTTTTCATCGTTTCCCTACATTTCACTTAACCTTTTGCAAACCCTTCCGACAAAGACACATATTCTTATTTTTATCTACTACTTGAAGCTCATTGCGATTCCTTTTCACTAATTTTAAAGAATTTTTTAATGGTCAACTGACGTTTAACGTTTGCCATAAACAAGAATCTTAACCTCTCTATTTACTTGTTATGTCACTTTTTAAATTTGTAAAGAAACGATGATTTGTATGAATTGTTTTGACTTTGATCTATCAGATATGTATCAGCATCATAATCAACGCTTTTTTGCTTGACTTTGAAAACAGACTTAAAATTCTAAGTATAATCATTTGCATATTCTGTTTTGTAGGAAGACATCAACCTTAGCGTAATGCTAGAGCAGACCCATATCATGTACATAACGCCTGAAGGAGACCTAAAAGAATGTACTGCCGAGGACCTTGGCGATATGGAAAAGTTTGTTGCTACAGATGCCCAGATGGAGTACATTCGGCAGTCCTCTACTGAACAATTGTCAAAGATGGACACACATGTGAGTGATGACGAGGGAATTATCATCCTTGATAACAACAATGTTTGCAAAAGAAAGATCTCACCATTTTCAGGAGAGTTCAAGGTGTTGTCTGCTATTCACAGTTCTGAAAGTGATTTCTTTGGTTTTGCCCTGGTTAATGGTAAGGTGACTGCCTTGTCAATCCATCAACAGCTGCCAATATCTAGTCACCATTCTACTTCATCAGAGTCATCTGGATATGAAGACTGGACACTGATTGCTTCCATGAGCAGAGGTGAGAGAGCTTCACTGTTTTGTTACTGTTGTTAATCACTAATTTATTCGCATCAGTGAGTGTGAAAGGAGATATTGACTTAAGCCCTATCGTGAACATCTCCTAGAATCGAATTAGAATTTAGAAGTTGATTTTTGAGGAGGGAGGAAAACCGGAGAACTTGAAAACGCTTTAAGCACAGGAGAGAACCAACAAACAACTCAACTCACATACAACACCGTGCTCGTTGGGAATCGAACCCGGGTCGCATTGGTGAGAGACAGTGGTGGTCTGGAGTTTCCATCACTTTTGCATAGGCTGCGTAGGTTGCATAGCATAGACCAAAGAAAATGAAAATACATTTTGGCATAGCTTGGAAATAGACATCATGGTAGTATCCAACCTTGACCATAATACATCATGTTCACTATATACATAACAGAATGAATATGATGCATTTTAGTCGAGCTTGGAAGAAACATCTCTTATTTGTAACCAACCCCCACGATGCATTACGTTCACTATCTATTATACAACTTTAGACAAAAGAGATGTGTACTAAAAATTTTATATTAATTTCTCAAATTTAAGGAAATAACATAATGAGAAATGAAGAAAATGAATGAGAAGGGAAGCAAAAGGATAGTAAGCATGATTTCATGTTTAAAAATATCCCTTGTATGCGATGTCAAAGCAGCTCTATTTGGAAGAAAAAAGTAAAGAATTTCAATCTCCTGAGGATTGGAAACCTATTATTTCTCTAAATTGAGCTGCATTGCAGCATACTGCGGGGATATATTGATTAGGCAAAATGTTAATCTTGTGACATTATCATTTACAGGTCGGTGTAGTGTTGGTGCTGCTGAGCTGTCTGGAAAGTTGTTTGCCGTAGGGGGGTATGACAGAGGTGACTGTTTACACACTGTTGAAGTATACGACCCACTGACAAATGAATGGATGCCTGCTGCACATCTTCATTCCAACCGTGGACGCTTCAAGCTATGTGCCCTTAGTGACATTATTTATGCCATTGGAGGTTCAGATGGGCACAATGAGTTAAATACTGTGGAGTGCTATGACATAACCTCAGACACCTGGTCTATTAAAGCACCAATGGGATACTGCCGCAGCAGCCTGGGTACTGCAATCTTGGATGATAAGCTGTATGCTATTGGAGGATACTCTGGTTCCCATAACCTGAAAACAGCTGAAAGGTATGATCCATCTACTGACAAGTGGCAGCAGATTGCATCTTTAAGCTGTGGCCGAGAAAACCTCTGTGCTGCATCCCTAGATGGAAAGGTGTATGCTATAGGAGGCTATAATGGCTGGAGCTACTTTAACACCGTCGAATGTTACGACCCTGTAAAAGATACTTGGACGTTTACARCCCCAATGAAGGTTGCTCGCAGGGGTGCTGCTGCTGCTGCTATGGATGGGTGCCTGTATGTGGTGGGGGGCTATGATGGTACCACATTTCTGAATAGTGTGGAGTGCTATAATCCACAAACCAATACATGGACTACAGTGGCAAGTATGAACACAGCTCGGCATAATGTTGGTGTGGCTGTCGTCGGAGGTCAGATTTATGCAGTTGGAGGGTTTAATGGATCTGCTTTCCTCAAGACCATGGAGACTTATGATCCTAAGAGCAACAAGTGGAAGTCTTTTGTTCTGATGCAGTAACAGAAAATAATGACTGTTGCAAACCAGACTTACTTTCTTCAGATTGTATATGTAGTTTATTAGAAAGAGGTGAACTTAACATATGAGGTACAACTAATACCTATTGGTGGACCATTTCAAGTGTCAACATAAATTATGTATTATAATAATTAGCAATTAGTCCTCAAGCCCGAATGGGGTATTGAATCATAGGCCACGAGGGCGAGAGGACTAATTCTTTTAGTCAAATCCAACTAGTCGGTCAAATATATGTCTATGCAAACAAGTTTTGAATAGAAATTAATTTAAAGTGCCTATCAACCCTGGCCAAATTCCATTTTTTATTAAAATTTACCTATCAAGTAAGAAGTTTTCGTTGGAAAAATCCACTTTTGAATTTTTTCTCGATTAAAATTCCCATCTAAAATCACGGTCTTCAAACTCAAAAACGAGCAAAAAGAGGACTGGGCACTAATAAGTCTTGTGACGTCGATCCGGTATCACACATTCGCGCGTCTGTACTCTTCACTAAAACTTCTCTACGCAATCTCTATATTTTTCGATAAAAAAAAAWTTTTTTATCAAGCTTAGCTGCAAAATGTCAAACTCCGAAACCGATTCTTCATGTAGTTATGATTCTGATGATTCCGAGTTTAATTTTTTGCCTGGATACGTGTTGGAAGTGGAAGGTGAACAAGACGCTTCGACATCAACAAACTGAAGGATCTCACCGAAGTTGATTATAGCGACACTTTCATGCCATATGCAGATGAGCCAATTGCTAACCAGGAATGGCTTGATGAATACGACAAACAGCAAGATCTTCAAAAAGAATTCGAACGAAAACTGCAGAGCCGATACGATGAAGAAGAAGATGTGAGTTCGTGGTAAGTGCGTTTGATCATCATATAAGCTTATAAATATAAGCTAAAAGTCCTGTTCTAATATTGTATGATAAAGTTCCACAATTTCAATACTTTTATTAAGGTCCTATAGCTTAATTCTATCTATTTTTATTAGGTGTCAGTGCGGATAT